AGCCAAGCTTGCACGTAGGCGGCACAATTGTCGGCGCTCTTGTGCGGCTGGCTGTTGCACTGTACAGCCCTCGTACCCTTGTGAGCCGCATACTTGGAATCCCACGCCTTACTGTTCAACAACGACACAACGACACCACGCCTCGTTGGCTTGTCGCTGACAATCGACAGCTTCACCAACACAGCAACGCAACATACTACAGCACAATTACGCAACAATGACGCGGCTGTTAGTTCGGCTGGTGGTGGTCGTAGTGCTCAACAACACAATGACACAACTAACGGCGCAACGCTTCGCATCCTGGTGGTCGCAATTCTCAGCAACCCGGCTTGTTATTTACGCCGTAAACACAGATAGCACTTACGTTTTTATGCGTAAAAGCAGTTTTCACGTTTTTAGGCGCAAACAGGTGTAAAAATACGCAAAAACAACGTTTAACACAATCCCGTCTACATAAGGACAGTATATACAGACTTCGGGACTCCGGGGAGTGGCATCCAGACGCACTGGAAGGGGCAGAAAACGAATATTGTTCCACTCCATCGTGGCCCTTGCCGAGTACGCAACTTCCATCGTGTAACCTTGGTGTCACAACGAGTCGTAAAAACGTAAAAACAACCATAAAAATAGCGTCTTTTGCAAATTTACGTTTGTACGCATAAACACCCAAATGTAAGAACGTAACGTAAACGCCAACGTAAATATCAAGCCTGTCAGCAACACACTGGACGGATCCAAGTCAAGCCGATTCGCAGGAGGCGATGACAAGCAGATTCAACAAGCGCATGCCCGATCTCCCATCACCACGGAGCTTGCGCATGTGGACCATTTTGCGTCAAGCAACAACGGGAATCACGCGTGCTGTCGTTGTCTGTCTACACCGGCTCGCAATGGCGACAGCAGTCGGCAGCGAACGATGCGCTGGATGTTCACACCTATGTCATTCACAACGGAGATGAGCTCTCTGTCCGGCCCATCCCACCCAGACGCGCCGGGCCAAAAATGCGTCGAACACAGCAACCAGCGGGCGCCGGGCGACCCACCACACCCGCCAGGACCCACCAGCCCGCCACCTCGCACAAAGTACGCGACAGTGCGCTCTTCCAGCTCGCGACGGGCTCACCCACCTCTCCCAGCGCATCCCACGCCTTGCCACCTCCTGCGCCTCCCGCTGCCCGCTCCCCCAGCGCCAGCTGCTCGGCGTCCCCGCACAACCTGAACATCAGTCCTGGCCGGACATCTTGCACACACCCGTCCCCGCCATCTTGCCAATCTAATGGTTGGGAATTATCACGGCGCTCCCAATGGCGGGATGCTTCAATGCGATCGTCCGATGCGCATCGGGGCGCCGAGACGGGCCGCCGGTTCGAAAGGCCATCCCGATCGCGTCGCACCCCGCCGTCCTGTGCGCTGACTGGGCGCCCCGTCCTGGCGCCCTGTGGTCGCTGCTCCCCGGGGCCCAGGCCCGGGGCCCGGAGCCGGGTCCCGGAGGTCGCCTCCGGACCGTCGGGATTCGGCGCCGTTTCGAGTCTTCCGATCGCGAGACAGGCGCCGAGCGGCGCGGGCGGCGTCGGGTCGTCGCCGCGGGCGGGATCGACGCTGCCTGGCGGTTCCTGACCCATGGTCCAGCAGGCACCGGGTTGACTCCGTTGACCGTGATCGTCCGTCGCCGGTGCCGAGACCACGGAGGGAAACCCCGCGCGGCCCCCTGCTGCCGCTCACCTAAGGATGGCGTACCGCCCGATCGGGAAACCGCGCGGGCTCACCGGCCGGGAGTTCACCAATTCGCGCTCGTCGAAGTCAGTGAGTCAGCGGCCTACCCCGACAGCCAAAGTCCCTTACGGGCCCGGTCCGGGCGCGGCGGCTCCGGCCACCTGCAAACGCGGCACCGGCAGAGTGAGAACGCCGCGCCGTCGCAAAAAGCCCCCCAGAAAGCACGCGGGCGGTCGCTTCGGCCATCGCGCTGTCAAACTCAGAACGCTGGTTGTTGAGCTCGGGAGCGACGCAGAAAGGACCCCCGCCCAAATCCGCGCCCCAGCGGCCAGGATCCTAGCTTGATATTCAAGCCGCGGCATGCGGACGGCTGCGCAGCGCGGCGAGAATCAACAGGGGCACGAGGGCGCGGTGTTTTGCGGCGCGGAGACGCACGTGCCTACTATGTCCTCGGGCGCATACGACAACTCGGGCAACTGCCTCACCTTGGGGCGTGACTCGCGGCTTGCCCCTGACTGACCCGCCGAGCGCCGACTGACATCCGGGCGCGGGGCATTACGAAATCCTGCCCCTGCACCACGGACGCCCCCCTCCGCGCTCCTCACGTCCACGAACGCCCAAAACGCGCGGAGCGCCATGCGCCATGCCGCGGACCGGATTGCCTCCTCGGGTGGCGGCGGCACAGCACAGCACAGCCCGACTCGCGGCCTCTCGGGGCACCCGCCGCCTTCGCTGCCTCCGCGCCAGTGCCGATTGAATTGCTTCCCCCCCCCCCCCCGTTCGCCGATTGGCCCGGCATCCAAACGCAAAGGGGCGCACGCTCCGCGGTGCGAGGGGCATGGTCCACTCTCCTTCGCCGCATTCCATGGGTTCAATCAAACTTCACCTACCAACAAGATTGATGTTGGCTTGTGTGACTAGGCCGCGGCCAATCATCCGCCGAATATCCCGGCCAGCGTCCGGCGGGGGCCTTCCAGCCGGACTTGTGCCGCCCCGGGTGGCGGCCGACGCCGCCTCAAGCGGGCGCAAACCAATCAGTCGATCTCGCCCGGACGGGCCCGTCCCGCCAAACGGCTCAGTTCCCATCCAGGCGTCGCCCTCCCGCTGACCCACAGCAATCTGCCGCGCGGACGCCGCTGCGACTCAGTTTTGCACCGCCGATTTTTCGCTGCTGCCTCCGATGCGATCCCGACTCCTGGCCGCTCGGGGTAGAGGTGGGTGGGTGGGGGGCAGTTCAGCCACAGAGAGTGGCTGTGTCCGAAAGGGCGTGGCTGGGGCTCTTGGCGCAATCCTTTGAGCAGCGGGAGCTGCGGGGCTGATCTGGCAGTCACCGCGATGTACGGCAGCGGGGTGCCGGGCAAGGTGGCCTTCCCACAAGAGTCACCCCATGGAATCACCATATGTCTAGTACATCGGTGTTGTGTACTGAATCGCGAATCATCTCCACACTGGCCGCGGGGGACTACGCGTCCGCCCCGGTTGAGTCAGGTCGCCCGGGGTCGTCCGGGTCACGGCTTGATCAAGGGCGGATAGCCAAATTACTCTGTCCGGCCCCTTCGCTTTGCGGATCGTACGGCCGTGCAGTCGTGAGCGGGAGCGACGAGCGGGCGATGGGCCAGCCAAGTGGAGGCCGCCGTTGATGGCGGGAGGGTGTTCCGGATGCAGGCCATGAGCACGGAGATGCGACGTAAACAAGACGGAGGTGGGGGACCCCGTGTACACGCACCCTAGAATATGTGCATGCGCACCCTAAATCCAACACATCACGATCTCCGTCTCCGGAACACTGTGGATGGCGGAGCGGGCACCAGGGCAGGGCACTCGGTGGCTCTGGTTCATGCGACATGGCAGATTCTGAGTTCCGTTGTCTTCATCATCATCATTTGCCTTTTTGCTTCCAGAAGATTATACCACAGTTCAGTCCACGTGCCAGTCCCGTCCCTTCATTACGTGTTGGGATCCATGTGGGCGCAGGGCCATCAATATGGAGCTACCGATCGTAACAGGGAAGCAGCCACTGACAAGCAACGATATGCTGCCCTTGACAAGCAGTCAATTCGGATTCAAGCGATCGCACCATTTGACATCCAGGGGAATGTCAATCAATCCCAAAACATAATAAATGAGCCACTGATCCTCTCCTCACCCCCTGCACTCGCCCGTTAAGCCTGTCACTATGTCCAGCAGGGAGCCTACCTTGCCACGTGTCATACACCCCAAACCCTCTGTCACAGCCCCACACTACCCATGAACGGGGAACAGCCTGAATCCATGAGCGCCCATCATCGTCTTCCAAGGTGCAAGGGCAGCAACTTACTCTGCACAGGCAAATGCACTTGAACAGATTTCACAGCGCTGCGATCAGTTCTAAAGCACCAAATGGGTGCTTCTGTCACACACTCCCCAAACAGGGCCCAGCACCCTTCGTCAAAATATAGGCCCAGACATTCAACGGCAATTCCATGAGAGGCTTTCCCTGCCCAAGTCTTGCCAAGGCTTACAACGCAGTTGCATTGTCACAGGGCCCAGGAGGCCCGCTGCACCACAATTGCTACCAGTATATCAATTTTCATGACTGTTTTCAGCATCATGTGGAAAGAGAAATCCTATCATGTAAACACTAAGTGACAAGCCTGACATCCCCCGAAGGGTGCATGGACAGTGCTTCAGCCTGGGAGATCATTTGCAAACAATGCAGATCCCAGTGTGCAGCCAGCAGCCCCATCAATGCCTTGGGGGCAGCCACAGGCCCGTGAATACAAGTCTCAGTGCCATTCCATGATGTGTCAGCAACCGCACAGTCCACGACCATCATATCCTGTGAAACATGACCATCAGGCAGCTTGGTCACCATGGGCAAGGTGCTCGTCTAACTACCCTAAAGCCTGCTCCTAGAGTCCCAAGTTCCTAAAGCACCGACCCACAGGCAACCCACCAGGCCCCCCCCCTCCCGCACAAGGGCACCGAAAAGAACACCTCAGAGGAGAACACCGCCTTGCCCTAGACTCTGTCATTGCCCAAAAGATTTGCTGTTTGATTCGACAAAGGCAAACAAAATCAAAGAAAGAACAGACAGCACCCATTTCTGAGCCTTGACATCGGCTAAACAGCCAGCAGGAGAAAGACCAGCACATGGACACATCTTGACCAATGCACTGCGCCAGGTTTCCTGCTTCCCAAGACTTCCCGCAGCTGCCTTGCGAAGCCTGGGGCACGTTCCACTAAGCGCACCTGCACACCCCACATTCACAGTTTCCTCTCTCCTACCCAGCCATTGGCGGGACTGACTAGCCCACAAGCATGTTGATCGCCACCTCCACGTCGTTGTTAGCTGCCTGCAAGGCCCAAAGGGCACGCTCCTGGTCGAAGCCCATGCCCATGAGCTGCGCTATGGCCTCTTGGGAGGGCTCAACGGCTGAGGGGGAGGGGTGTGGCTGTGCACACAGGGTGACTGGTCACTTTCTATTTCAAAAGGTTACATCGCATTCAAGGGGCCAGGTGCTGGCTGTGTGCTGCCTCTTGAGAAACTGTGAGGGGATTCACAGGCCAAATGATTGATCCTAGAAGAACACTGGAAGGTCTGAAAGAATTGACAAAGGCCAATACATTTGATGGCATCGACACAACATAGACATGGATATTTCTGAAGTTAGTCTAAAGCAGTTTTCGAAAATTTTGGCTTCGTACCGTTACAACAAGCAATTGTTGCCCTTTGGCCTCAAAAGGTGGATGCAAGGTAAGGATGTAAGATTGAAGCACGGGAGAAGCCAATAAGAACAACTTTCTGTGGTTCTAGCACAGTTTTCACACAGTTGGTGCAAGTGGTAAAGGCAATTAATAACCACTCTGCGTGCCTTGTGCATGGCCACCAATTCTTCTGATATTGTTTCCTGACCTTCTGGCAACAATCTTCAATGAGTCCATTGGCGAGTTTGCTCCCTGATGCAGACCAGATCAAACATCTGACCCTTGCCCTCAGGTTTACACTTGCTAGATCAACCCCATAGTATTCAGCAATCGTTGGTCCAACACTGTCCATAAAGTGTCACGTGTGTGTGTGCACCACCAGAGGCAGCCCGTTCCAGCTCACCTGCTGCATTTGCCTTGGCACATGACCGCCACTGTTCAGAGGTATCTGTTGCTGATTTCTTGGGACATAAATCTGGACTCGCGGGGCAGTGTTCCCCCTTGCATCCAGCAGCCGACCAAGTGTTGCACTGAAGAATCTACTCAACCACCTTGGAAACTGCAAGAAAGGGACAATGAAACCCTCGTAAACAATCAGATGTATGCATGAGAGTAAGCACTGGAGGCACCACAAGACATGCTACAAGGATGAGAGGTCAGACTTCGTTGAGTGTCCTGGGCAGACAACTCAGTGTTTGATAGGCCACCGATGTTGCAGAAGTGTTCAGCAACTCTTTGGCAGCTGCAGTCCTAAAGTCTCAAGGTTTGTTTACAGCATTAGTGCGGTGCATGAGCAGCAGCAGCAGTAAGAACACCAAAATGCTGAAACACAATCATACAAGATAGGGCAGCGAAGCACCATACTAAACTACTACGAAAAATAGGGAAACAGCGCACCATGCGAAGCATCTGCCAGAATGGTGGAAAATTTGCCCACAAGTTCCAGTACAATACATATCTGAAGTGAAATCAGGGTAAAAAACCAATTCATTATCACAGGGTCTTTCCATCTCTCCATGAATTAATTAGGGTTATGCTGGTGTCGAACTGTACATAGGGTCCCAACTTGTGGATGGATGGGAGATACGCCGGCACAGAACAGAGACACTACGATATCTGCTGGGGAACCTCAAAGTGGCCAGTATGAGCCAACTGTGTAAGACAATCATGCAGAAGTCCCTGAACAGAGTAGGTTGCCTGGATGCCAAGAGCGCTTGTTGCTGTTGTGTGCACCCCGAACTGTCTTTAGCACAAGGGACACGTCATGCAATGCACTGCACCACACTGGGCTGGTTTCTTCCTGCTCGTTTCCCTCTTCTGATAGAGACTTGGTAGACCCCTCTTCTGTTCGGCTGCCATCCAAGGTCAAATTTGTCCCACTGCAGCATTACATTCTCTTGCTGTGTTTCTCTCCACTTTCTTATTTTTAAAATGCCCCATGCTATAATAGGACGCTTTCCTGAGCGAGCAATGTGGCCCTCGCCGCTAACACCGCTTCATATGCATGCCTTCCCCCCCTCTCTCCCAACCCCCAAACTCCCCGACCTCATTTCTCCCCTCCCTCTTTGTGAGCAGGGACTGTGATGCGAAGGTCATTTCCATGCAGTGAAAGACAATGCAGAGATCTCTGATTGCAACAGCCACAGAAGCAGTGGACAGCATCACAAAAAGCAAGAATACCCTTGTGCTGTGAAATCCGTACCCTGAATTGTTTCATGCCAAACAGGTTGGCCCTGTAGGTCAGGCCAGCCATCAGCCCGCAAACTGCAGCCATTGTTGAGCCAACCCCAGAGGACAAGATGAGCTGGATGCCAGCCAGGTACACAAAAGCCTGTGCACAGGTTCACAGAGGGCATGAATTAATGTGCTGGTAGCAGCAAACGCCTGCAACAATTGCTGCACACATGGTGGACATGACCCACTAGCCATGAAACATGTCTCTGTGGAATTCAGATTGTCAGACAGCAACTGCCTGTCCAAAGGTCTAATTGGACAGCACAGTACTTGGGAGAAGAGGCTTGCAGAGGTAGTGAATGAACTGATGCAACACATAGCGTGACATGACTTGGTAGTTATGTTGTGCGTTGCTGCCAAGCAAGAATAGCGATTCAGTGGTAGATCGTAACAGCCAGCAGCAGCACAATAACTATGCTAGATTCAACTCAGAACAACATCAGGTGCTCGACAGCTGAGCAGAGCCATAAAACAACAGCAGGCATGAGGCAAGGCAGCAAGGTTGTCAAAATTCAGAAACTGCGCAAACGCACAGGCAGTCTACGGTGAATGGCGTATGCACAATAGAAACACAGCAAACCCCTCCTGAAAGGTGCTGTATCAAGCACAGGATGCCAGTACTGGATGGGCCCAAACAACAAGACACCAGGCCAAATTTCTGAGCAATGTAGCCACCAACACAGCATCGCAAAGATGGCTCCCAGGTGAAGTTCCTGCCAAGACTGTGGGGGCCATCTTCCTGTCAGCCACTCTTGTGCAGTTATTGCACCCCAAGCCAAATCAGCAAAGAAGACTACAGCTTCCACAAAAAAAAAGGTATTATAGCTGCAATGTACTGTCCCTGAGGGCACAAGGGCCATGATTGGTCCAATTGTGGTGGATGCAAATATACACATCGCCTCTCTCACCCCATCAGGTGCCCTGCCATTCCCAGCACACCAGGTTGGTCCCCTTTCCCAGCAGGTGCTGGTGACAGCACATGAAGGAGACACCAAACTTTCTCATGATGACGCTCCAGGCAATCTGATCAGCAGCAACAACTACAACAATCATGTGGCCCCTGCCTTCCCCCAGTGGACGGGACAGAGACCATCATGGTGGTATTTTGAGCTCCGATGCCTCAAGCAGCTTTCATGGGGGCAGGGCTGAACTTCATCACATTCCAAATTCGCGTTTCACTTTGTAGCCATTTGGAATACCTGAACTTGGAAGCCAGGAAAACCCAGAACTGATCAAAAGATGGATGACATCCAGGCAGAGGCCATGAAAAGTTTGAGTTGAAACGATCACCCATCGATCCTCAATCTTATATACCCCGCCATGCTTCAATCACCTTGTCCGTCATCTGCAGCCCGCACACAGTGAACCTCGATGTGGGGGGTACGTCCAGGATGAAAGGCACAAAGGATGCAAAGATCAGCCCATAGGGCCCTGTGGGCATGCCCCGCCTTAGCCGGTAGGCTGCCTGCAGCCCCAGTTGCAGGCCATAGGACAGGGCCCCCGTGGTGAATGCGAACCCCCCGAACTTGCCAGTGCCTGCCAGCCGCTCCAGCAGGCGGAAGTAGTACAGCAGGCCCACGCCAAAGATGAGCTCGCCCATGTTGCCAAAGGCGAAGGCGCGGGCCAGGGGGCGGAGGGTGTGGGGCATGCTGGAGCCCCGTGCGACGGCTTGGCAGAGGAGGGAGGAGCCAACTGTGGTGAGGACCACACCCTTCATTACAGGCGCATTGCCTGTGCGAATACATGACAACGAGCAGTGAGTTTTGTTTGTTGGATTGCATCTACATTTCTTGGCAATGAAACCACCAATGTACATGGATGGCTTGCGCAAAGCAGGATTGGTGAGTTCCGTGTGGGAGACCTAGTGGTTGTTTTGGCAGCCAAAGCCAATGACAACTGGCCAATGGGGAAGCCAAACGTCTGTGTTAGTCTCAGCACATCAGGATGACAAATGCTGTGTAAGCACAAGAAGGAAAAAACAGCCTCTTCCTGATGCAGAGTGCACAGGAGGTGTGTGCAGTGACTGCATGCTGAAGTTGGTGATAAGGGGTGCTGACAAGGGGCCTTGCAGCACCTGTTTCCTATGGCGTGCCACTTTGTCTGGGGTTCGTTTTTTTTTTTGCGGTGGCATCTTGGTTGCCCGTTCCCTCGGGCATGAGGGTGCATGGGGAGAATGGGTGCAGGTATGCAATTACAGGATATGCTTGACATGTGGAGTGCAACAACCACATTGAGGTGCCTGTTGTACTCCTCATCGCTTAAGAGGCACTGGAGTGTGAATTGCCAACAGCAACAAATGAACTGGACGAATTAAGACTGTGGGAAGAGCAGAGGTGCCATAGACATTACAATTTCTGCCATGATGAAAGTGGACTCTCCAGTGCAGGGCAGTTGTTACTGCCTCCACACATCACCTGTTTGCACGGCATGGGCAGGATCATTTACGCGAAGTCGTCCTATATCACACTGAAGCAACAAAATCTCCTTTCCAGTGCTGCAGAAATTCCTAAACACTTTGCTTCCCATTGGGGTGCCCTTTGCAAGGTCTGTTTCCTTGTTTAATCCTTGTGTTGCTGGGAGGCCCAGACATGAGTACTGTTCTCTCCTTTGCAGTTCGACAACTCCAGAGCTGCGTTCAACGGTCTTGCAATTCTTGCTCATTTGCAGGGTGCAAAACTTTCTGCCTTCCCGCAGACAGTCTGGAAGTATGTGTCCATCTTGTGAGTTTCCTCAGCCTTAAATATACCTGAGTCCACTCTGCTGGGGACATATGCCTCCATTTTGCGACAGTCGATATTTCACCACAAAAATCATGCATGGCAGCAAGGCACACTGGAGGGAGTCAGAAAAGAAGGTGGGAGCAAGGGGATATCTCTGAACCCAGGTAGTGATGCTTCCGTGGCTAACAAGACACCAAGGAACGCCAAACAGCAGAAAGCGTCACGCCGCCGTCCCGTGCAATCAACTTTCCAAACACCTCCAAAACCTCGGATCCCATGGCTGGATTGGACCCAGAATTTTCAACCTGAAACAGCAGTCCGGGCTGCCAATGATTCGCGCCGAACCCTGGAACACCATTTCTCCGCGGACAGTCCAAATCTGACAGCCAACCAGTCCTGAATTTAAATCACATCCGGCCCATCGGCCGCGCGGCTTTGGATCCCAGCTGCACTTCAATCGAAACGTCGCGGGCGGCACCCGCGCGCCGATTCCAGCCGTGGCTCGCCGCGCGAAATTGATGCTGCGCCAAAAGCTGGCCCGGAGAGGTCGCAAAATGCACAGCGGAACGGGGGAACGCGCAGATGTGAGGCAAGGAGGAGGCCGGGTGTGGAGATCGGGGAACCGGAGACACTCACTGAAGCCTGACGTCAGGGAGCTCATCGTCCTGGCGGCGCCGTTGAGGGATCGCTGGGTGGCTCCGTGGGGGGAGGGAGGCGGCTGGGTGACTCTGCGGGCTGGCGTGACGCAGCGATGCGCTTCGTGGTCCCTCCGCTGGCTTTGGGGGTTGCCTGGCGCCTTCCCGGATTGAGGGGTAAGGAGTCAATCGGGCGCATGGAAGGTGAGACAAACGAGGTTGGGGCTGGAGGGGCGTTGAACCACGCCTACCCCACGGCCTTGTTCTGTGAAAATGAATTATGATGATCATCATTAACGAGGGTGAGGCTGGATTGGGCACGTTGAAGTTAACCAGCGAGATGAAGGACGTTTGCAGCATGCACGCCGAAATGATGCTGATATGCCAGGTTTGGAGTGGGACTATGTCGGAACCAAGCATGGCCACAGGCTTGGAGACACACTTAAGTGAAAATAAGTACGTCCCTTGATACTCAAGCAACCATTGTTATGACCTATTCTGGTTGAGTGTCTCCTAGTCAGGTCATGACATGTAGTTGCCTTAGTTCGGTAGATAGGCCGGGCTTTGGGGATACAATCTAGCGGCCACTAGATAATATCAATTAAGTTTAATCAAATGGGAGCAACCTAACCCGCGGCTTAGGTTGCTCCCATTTGATTAAACTTAATTAATATTATTATACTACGATTATAACTGAGGTAACGCTTCCACTGTAAGATTCTCTTTTCCTGGTTGACGGTCTCCGCGCGATTCCCTCCCAATACGCGCATCCTGGGCGGCACCCTTCGAGGGGCGCCCAACAATTATCCATCAATCATAGATTGGCCACTGTCATATTAACACGTCATTGTTTCTCTAGCTTGTTGCATAGCAGTGCCGAGGAGGTCTGCATGGCAGTTGGGAAATTGCATCAATTGCTTCAAATTGCTTGACAACTAAAAAGAACTAGAAGACCCCAAACAATATGAGGGAGCTGCTAAAGCTAATGCCCTAGCGCGTATGAAAAACTTTGCACATTCAGAAAAGTTTGGGTGGCTTGTATCCATGGAGGTTATAAACTCTCTTACCCTCAAGTGTCTTGGCATACTGTATAACGAAAAATTTTCGCGGAGAAAAAATTTCACGTATTTCGTAGGAAAAAAAATTCGTGGAGAAATATTTTCGCGCACTCGTCGGTACGCAAAAATTTTTCTCCCACGATTTTTTTTCCCCACAAAATTTCTGCTGCGTGGGTATTATTTAAAGCTTCTTGGTTCCAATGCGCCCTTAAATGCCCAAATCCGTTTAGAAACGGCGAAGATATGGCCTCCTGAAGTTGTAGTACTTAGGGCCAGGGGGTCGAGGGTTAGATGCTTGGAATTAGAGGACAATGGGTCGATTGTAGGTGAACGGTGGACGGTGGCGATGTGCCTGGATGTGCACTTGTTTTATCTTGTCTTGATGTGACTTCGATGGACCCGCGATCGAGCATCGCGCATGCGATATGTGCGCACGCATGCTGTGAATTTGTGTAACACTCTTGGCCCACTCTCTGGCCTCCCGCGAGCCAGCGAACCACCGCCCAGCTGCGCTACCACCTCTCGCCAACAGCAGGCCCTGGGGATCGATCCCCATTGAGCACTGGGCCCACCGCGCGACCACAAGAACGTCTGCCCCGAATACGCCCACCGTCCAAGGTGGAGAGGGCCGGCTGACCTCCAACAGCCGAGC